TAGGAAATGGGATTTGGTCAATGCTTCTCCAAATTTTAGAAGTTTCAAGGTGCTCCCAGRGCTGGCTGGGAAATCAACTCCCCATTGACCAAAGCTATCAAAAGAACTAACGGAACAGTTTAAATTCATTTGAAAACTCCCCACACTTGTGGAAAAAAAAAGGCATTCATTAATTTTTAACATACCCTTTTTTGTTTCCTCTCTCACCGGAAAAAAAAGGCTGGGAGAGAAACCAGGGGCTCTTCCCTCAGGAAACAAAAGCCCTTCCAACTTTTTTGAGCTTTTYAGAAATGCTGCTCATGGGGGGTTTTTTAAACTGAAATTACATTGAAAATGTGGAACGATTAAATAAAACCCAGCCCAAACCCCCAGCTGATATGTCCTTTCAGGGCACACTCTGATGTGGATGAAACTTGTTTCTGACCAGTTCTGACTTGAAAATGTCAGTTCGCTAAAATCAGGGAAAATTGAGATAATTTTTACACGAACAGTTAGGACTGACTAAAGCATCTTGCCTGCAGCCCCTGTCAGCCTGGAAAGTGGGCAGTGATTCTGCTTCTCTGCTAAAACGGGGCCCAGGGGGCTGCAGGAGGCTCCGTCCTTCCCAAGACTGCCTTCATCCTTACCCTGTGTGTGACCAGCACGGGTGTGCCATTCCCAGGGCTGGGGTGGGTCTGGTGCTGTGTCACCCATTGCACTGAGGAGGAGCTCTGAGTCATGAAAACCATGTTGGGTGTCAGGGCTGTTGTCAGCCCTGCCTCTGAGAAGAGCCCCTGGCACCCAAAGCCACCTCAGGACAGAGAATGGGGAGTGGCAGTGCCACCCGGGGACAGGGCAGGGGGCTCTGCTGAGGGCAAGGGCAGCTTGGCGTGGCGGTGATGGGAGTCATGGTTAAATGGGTTAATTACGTTCCTGTTGCTAGGAACACGGTGAATTATGTTAATAGCAGCATCTGGGGAAATTACATCTTCATTAATTGGTCCTGATTGCTGTTTGGCAGATGCGAGATGCTTCTGACTTTAACATGCAGGACAAAATTTATTGTAATCAGTGCATGCAGTAAATGCACAAATACTTTACCAAGCCTTGCTAATTGACTCTCTGAAGAGGAAGGGATKGCAAAGACCTGCATGAACATCTCATCCTCGTTCTCCTGCCCCAGCCAGGACAGGCTTCTCTTCTACTGTTCCCTGCCCTAGGGCTTCTTCTGACAGAGTTTTGCACACTGTTTTGAGTTAATAATGGTAATAACATGGTTGGCAGACACAGGAAGGCAGTGGTGGGGCTGAGGATGCTCGTGTGGATGGGCTGTACCCTTGAGTTGGCCTTGTTTTCCTCAGGGCACCCCCGGGTGGGAATGGGGCTGTTGGGGTGTGAAGAGACTCGGGTGATCCCCAACAGGGGTGATCCCTAACAGAGGTGATCCCCAATAGGGGTGATCCCCAGCAGGGGTGATCCCCAGCAGGGGTGATCCCCAATAGGGGTGATCCCCAGCAGGGGTGATCCCCAGCAGGGGTGATCTCAGGTGCTGCTGCAGCTTTCAGTCAAGGGAGCAGCAGCAAACGAGGGATGAACCACACTGCAATGAGCCAGCACACCGGGAAGAAAGCTCTGTTCTTAGCCACGGCAGAGATCCTAATCCCTTTGGATAAACCCCAAAGCTCCAGGCAAATGCAGAGGTGATGCAGAGTCCCTCATAAGTTACGAGGCCGCTCGTCTGGGGACAGCAATAAGTTGTGTTATGGCCTTGCTWGCTCTGCCTTCTTTTTACACAGCACCATCTTTCATTTTAATCGTGGGTTTTCAGSCAGCTCTCTTAGGGCTGCTGCTAATTGGGCTGGATTCATGTGTCCCACCAGGGCATGGGACAAGCCTGGCACTGCTCAGGAGGGAAGGGTTTTACTGCCTGGTGCTTCCAATGGGCACAGCCCAGGCTTTGGGAGCAGGAGGAGGCAACATGATAGGGTGAGAGAGGAACTCAGGAACAAGTTTAACTCTCTTCAAGGTGCCCTTAAAGCTCAGAGGTACCCACCAGTGATGGGACAGAGTGGCTCCAAGTGAGTCAGATATCCCCCAGAGTGATGGAAAACCTTTACAATTAACCTTTCTGRTCTGGAAAGATGCAGGGCCACCTRTTTTACTGTGAAATTCGATTTAAAAGTTCTGCTGAAAGTATCAGATTCAGACCTTCACAAAGCAGTTTTCCTAGGCCATCACAAGGAATGAGAACTCACTGCTGGGAYGATTCCACCAGAGCTTTGGAAGCAGCAAGATTTGCACCCTCAAAACCCAGAGCTGGGTTTTACTGAGGACCTGTAAGAGGTGCTGAGTGGGGAGCTGGCCAGGTGTTTCCATACACTGCCCCTGTAAACACATGCAGGACCAGGACAGCTGTGATGCATGTGAGATTGGGCTGCAAAGCCACGCTTCTGGCTTGTGGGACACGCTTTTACTGCACCAGGGCTCCCCAGGTCCCTCAGCACAGGGGCACTGGGAGGGCAGAGCTCCAGGGCTTCTGCTTGTGCTCTCTGAGCCTTGGGAGACTCAAAAAAATTCTCTTCCCACTCCTTGCTACCTCTGTCCCCACTGCCCTACAGCCCTCCCTGAGCTCTGAGTGCTGTGATCCTGCCAAACTGGCTATTCCAAGGTGACCAGAACTTCCAGCTCCCAGTCACCCTAGCAATTAGATGGAGAAATTAATGTTTAGTGGGTGCATCCCCTTGGGATGTCTCCAAAAACACAGCTCTGAAACGTGAGGCTCTATAGTCAGAGATGCCATCATCCCACTGCCCCTTCAGCCACTGTGGCAGTGTGTCCCTGTCTGCCTGTGGGTGACACCTCCTTGTCTGGAGGACACACRAACGTGGTGTAGGAGATCCAGGATCCTCTTCCTCCCCCATCTGGATGAACCAGATGGTAAAACCAGGCYACTTGTTTGCAAAGGTCTTTCCCCACCAGCCACCCTTGTAATAACACTGGAAATGTCAGGAAACTCCCGTGAGAGGAAGTCTGCTCATGCCAAACACCTAAACAGTTCACAGTTGTAGCTGAGAAACACAGCAAGGAGATTATTGGCTGGCAAACAGACTGAATTGTAGACTGCTTTTATTTTAAAGGGCAATTAGCACTGTGGAAGGAATCTCTCTGCCTCTTCAATATGCCACATTTGTTAGTTAAAAGCTCGATTTATGGTTAATGTCATATAATCACATATGTCAGGGCTCTGCAGTTGAGCGGCTCCSTGGCATAGAGAAAACTGTGCCAGAGCAGAAGTTCTGAGAGGCAGATGGGGGCAGTAGGGCTGTGAAATCAAATGGTACCCACCAAAATGGAGTAGGGCGGTTTTCAGGGGAAGACCAAAAMTCTRGAAGTTGTAGCTGTTTGGGGKTTTCCCCTCCTGCTCACTGCAGAGATGAGACTGTTAAACCTGCAGATGGTTTTTGCAGCTCCCTTTTAGTGAGGGTGGTGCTCAGGGCCAGTAGATGTCAGACAGTCCAGGAGAGATAAACCAGGCTGGCCCATGCACCACTCTGTACACCTGRTACTGGGGCAGGGTACACACAGTGCAGCAGCCTGGACGTACATGGGGAGATGAAGGTGCTGCTCCACCCCACTGCTTGGACTGGGCCTGCGCTGGAGTGGGGCTTTAACTTCAACACCAGGCACTGCAGTGTCCATCTCTTACTGTCACTCAAATAAAGCACAGATGACAAGCATGTCACCACTGTGACCACCCTAGTGATGGCTCCAGGCTGCCCTGCCCACTGCTGACAGTGAGTGGGAAATACTCCTTTTTGGGGGAGAAAGTTTCCTGTTAGTAGCTGCAGGGGGCTAGCACTGGGCTCCTGCTCTTCCTGGAGACATGCTGTCACCAGAGAGATCAGAAATCATTTATTTTTAATGTCATGAATATGTAGAAACTTATCTGAGCTTCTGCACGCAGTGGCCATGAATCTAGAAACAGCGTCAGGAATCGTGGCATTCGGCATCCTGCAAATCGGGTCAGAGCTATAAATTTCCCTCACTGGTGCACAAGCCATTTGCCATACGTGACTTTCTGAATTTGTGGTCATTTCTCTCTCTGCCCCTGCATGCAGAGTGTTTGACTGAGATTTTATATTGCACCTCTGAGACACAAAGTCCTTCTGGTGCTTTTGCCTTGCATCCTAAACAGCCTCACTCGCTCTTCTCYCCGTCCCCTGGCCAACGGCTTCTGGCCACAGCCTGGCCCTTAAATCATGGGCTGCACCTGGACAGGCATAAACTGCCACTGTCCCCAGACACAGAGGGTTTCATTGGAGCCGTGAGGGATGTGACTGAACACAGCTCAGCCTTGGGAGAACGGCTGCTCCTACGCTGAGCCCAAGATGGGTCCTCTGGCACAGGAACCAAAGGCGATTGGGGCAAATCCTACAGAGACCCTGACACATTCAGTGACCCCTGCCAAGGACAGTCATTCCAAATACACAGGGAGGGAATGTTCAGCGTGGATATTGTGGGGGTATGCCAAGATGATCTGTGTGTTGGGAGGAAAGCTCAAGAAAAGCAAGTTCACACTGTGGAGACTGGAAGATGATGCTGCCATCCTCCTCCTCCTTCACTTTACTGCCTGTGCTCCTCCTCCCCCACCTCTATCTCTTCTAGACATAAAAGATTTTTTACTGCAAGACTATTTTTGCTCAGTGAATTAAAATGAAGCATTTGCAACCCCTCCTCCACAGTGCAATTGCTCCCAGCAGCAGTGCTCTTCAGCTGGTCCCAGCCACTGTGGTCCGCCTGGGAAAGGCAAGACTAGCAGCAGGATATTTGCTAAAACCAGCTCTSCTGAGATATGCCCGTGCTTCAGAACAGCTCTGCCCTGTTCCACAGCCTGCTCCCCATGAGCCTGGGCTGYCCTGTTCCACAGCCAGCACCCCATGAGCCTGATGAATCATGAAAGGCAGCAGAGGTGACCAAGATGTTTCCTAACTGATTTTGAATCTTTCTGTCACAGCAGTGCCAACACACAAATAGGAACTGTATCAACAGGATTGTTTATTGAATTCTGGTCTGGTTGCAGTGGTGCAACCCCATTGAGACCCTTTGGTGTAAAAACATGACACAAAAATACTGGATTTTTTCACACGTTGCTGAGAATTGTATCTCACCTGCAGGTTGCCCCTGAGGATCACACACAGGGGTTATCAGGGTCTGAGCCCAATTACAATGGCAGAGCAGAACACTGGAAACTGCACATTTTTGGGTCAGACAGAGCTCGTGTGACCTCTGCTAACACACAGCCACTCCTCAAAGCCAGGGTCTCCAGCAAACTACACAGTGCTGTTTCCATCAGGATAAGCTTTCTGTGCTTGCTAAACATGAACATTTGAGCCTTTTCAACTTAATCCTCTTCCAAGTGTATTAAGTTTTGAGGGAGATTTTTGAAATGGCAAGGTTTCCTCAACTTCTGATCTATTGGTGCAAATCTTACCATAATTCATCAGGGCCCTGCCAATATTCAGTCTGAATAAAAGCAGCGAGAAAGCACCTTTGCTGTCAGGATTTTTCAACTATAAATTGGTGGAAACTGATCTTTGTGAAAATGGCTCTAGCTTCATGTATTTAGCAGGGAACACACATCAAGCAAAGAAATACCAGCTGGAGAGCTGGTGGTGCAGGATTATGTTACAGGATCAGGATGACAGAAATGGGTTTGTTGGTCTCTAGCAGGCACAAGCAAAGGGAARCTCTGAAAGCAAAGGTTTCATAGRASCTGTCCCTGAAGATGTCTTTTGAAACTGTTGTTAGGGAAATGCCTCTCTGTTGCCACCACAAACAGAAACCAGAGGCAGTGAGAGCATCCCAGAAGATGCCAGCTCTTTCTTCCCAGGTTTTGTTCAAGCCTCCGTGCACAGCTTCAGTGTTAACCCACCTTCTTGCCTRTATTTCATGTTCCCTAACTTCAACCAAAGAACAACCCAGCCTTCCAAAACAAATCCAAGGACTGCTATACTTTGAAGACAGGATTACAGCAACCACTTACAACCAAAAGAAAAAAAAACCAAAACATTTTAATTGTTATGGTAAAGAGAAGGACAGTGGAGGAAAGTCATAGCTGCTTTGCTTTTTCCTTAGAGATGGAGAACTGTGCACATCTGGCTTTAAATATATAATAGTAACTTCCCAATGGCCATTAATATCCTAGCTCCAAGAGTTTCTGAACTAGCTAAAGGCTACTTTCTTGCTAAGGGCTTTTGCCTCACTCCRATCTGGAGCTTTGTGACAAAACTGAATTTATTTAGTGGAAGGGAGGAAGTAGATGCACTAGTGAGTGCACTGTCACTTGGCTGAGGTTTAGGTTTATTTGAATTTATTATTTCTGATGCAATCAAATGATCGCTTATTGACCATTTTACTTAAATGTGGTCTATAGTCAGATCCACTACAATCTGCTCCCTCTCTTGGTCCYCCTCTGCTATGTGACCACATCCCAGCACTCCCTCTGTTATCTACCATGAAGCCAGACTTGTTTCCCAGCTCAGAGCTGTAGGACGCTGTGAAGATCCACCTGAACAGCACATGCACTCACTCTGTGTGCTCTCTCTTGTTCACAGCACTAAGCAGCTCCATGACTGAACACACYTTTCTCTTCCCAGCCATCACTAACCAGCTATTCTTCTTTCAGCTCAACTTCAACCTGCACTTAACCATTAATTGTGTCTATCTGTACCTAAAATTATTTGCAATTGAACATTCAATTATTACAGATCATGAACACACAGAACAAGGCTGCTGTTTGATTTCTGTTCCAGAAATGATAAAGCACTCCAGCATCACACTCTTGTTCTCTCCAACAGCAGCTGAGCCACTAAACTGATGACACGTGGGTTAACCAGACAGTCTAACAAGTCATTGGTAGAAAGGGCTGTTTGTGAGGAGCATGGACTGCAGTCTGAATCCATTTGATGTGCAGCTGTCTCACAGTCATTACTCATTAACAATCTCTTCCTTTTGCAGTGTAATTTGCCAAAATGCTCTCCTTCATTTTCATGGAGAAGATCTCTACCGTCACTTTCAACTGCTGCACCCATCACGCTTGTTTTGTGAGACTGTGGCAAAACCCTAACAAGATGAGGCCCAAAAGGCATTTTCTGCAGCTCTTCTGCTTTGGGTGTTGGAAAGTCCCATTCCTGGGTTAGTAACGTGCAGCCCTCTGGCTCACAGCCAATTTCTCTTCTCTTTCTCTTGCACGAGGCATTTGTCCTTTGCTCTGCACCAGTGCTGCTGGAACATGCCTGCCCTGACACACTTGTCTCCTGACACTTGAGGTATGCAGACACTGCTTTATTCAGGTACTGAAGGTTGATTTCATGGGARGTTGCCTCAACCTAAGAAAACAGCCAGAAAACACTCAGTTGAAAGGAGACATGTTCAATTCAGCCTTGCATGATTATGTTCCATGAATTACTTTTGCTACATGAAGGGATGGAATTTCAAATTCTTTTTCTCAATGCAGTAGAAAGACTCAGGGGGAGCTAGCAAAATGCCAGTAATTCTTTGTTATTGCTGCTATAATGGGAGCAGTAGAGGRCTTACCTCTGTGGGATTTAGCCAGAGATCTCCATCACTAGGATTTTCTGCTGATTTTATGGCGCATACCAGCATTCGAGTTATTGCCTCTTCTACACGGGCTTCATGATCTGCATCCTGCCTCAAGAGAACAGAAGGTTTTAGGGGATAGATCAGCTCTTGGGTCTCTGCAGAAAGCCAAAAGATCTTAGGAAGAACATAGATGGCCTYAGCTGGAAAGCCACCCTCGTGTGTGAAGTCAATGAAAGGTTTCAGACTTTCTTCCTGTGTACAGCCCCCACATGGGTGACAGCACAGGCTTTGGTGTGACAGCTCATCTGAATATGAACTTGCAAAAAACAGTATGTGTATATAATCTGTTCCCTCATTAGTGCTTTGTTAATTGAATCTGATGCTTGAAATTACAATGCAATATTAGCATTTAATTAATGTATGCATTTAAACAGCTCTTTAGGACTAGAAGAGCCATAGAAGTACATAACACATTTTTGTATCTACATATTATGTCTAATTAAAGTAATTAAAGCACATAGGATGTTATAGCAAGGCAGCAGCCATCTAGGAGCTACATAGGCACAAAAGTGAGTCTTAAGGAAATTTAGGAAATATTTTATCATGTAACAGCAGCTGACAAACTGCTGCACTTCTGAACCTTAGCAAAAGGAAAAGCATGTTTCCTCTGAAAAATCTCCTGCAAAACTAAAAACTAACTTAATAACAGGCTCTTTTTTCAGGCCTTCACTTCCTGCATCATCCCTCTTGGGCAGCTGGATACTGCTAGGTTAGGACAGCAGAAAAAAACTTTATAGGATCTTTTTTAGCTTTCTTTCCTATTTGAGTCTTGTCTATGAAAGAAAAGAGAGTGTGGATGGAAGGGTAGACTCTCCAAACAGGATGYGTGTCTTGGTTATCTCAATGACAAGTGCCTGGAAGTGGATACATAAATTTGCTTTAATAGAGATGCTTAGATTAGTTTTGGAGGAAAGATGCAACCTGGTCAACGCACAGCCCTGATAAATCTACCTGTGGCTCAGGGAATCTGTCAAGCAAACAATGTATCTGGCTACTATGAGTGCTGAAGGCAGCTCTTTCTCCTGGAACACTAAGCAGAATTTGGGATAGAGGCAGGAGGAAGCGCTCTTGGCATTTGTGGGTTTGGATGCTTGGCTTTTTAAAGGCCTGGTAATAAAAAGCCACCCAAATACAGAGTTTGGCATCTACATGTGGAAATTATTTAAGGTGTTGCATTCTTGGTATTCATCCTGGCCTGCTGAATAACAGGGCTGTACTGATTGCATGACAGTATGTTAGAAAGCAAGGAATACTTTTGGGTAGCTCAGAACATCCAGCTGAAAACAAATTAAATTTCTACTCTAAACTCTTGCCAATATAATTAATGGTTTCACTGGGACTGTAATTGTTAGTGTGATTCACATCTGTCAATATGAAAGCAGCTGGTAACAGCTGCGAGCAAGAACTGCTTGGTTTGGTAATGGAAATGTTCTCAGAATTGTCTTTCAGAATCCATGTCAGAATTAATTTTTATAGATGGAACGCCCAACACCGARCAAACAGTGCTGCATCATCAGCTGCAGGGACAATTTCTGTAAGGAACCTTCACCTGGGCTGCAACAGCCACGTTTGCTCATGGCAGATATTGATATTTGGGRAGGTGTGTGTCACTCATTAGCAAGATCCAGCAAACATCCTCTGCTTTTGATGCCACACAAATACCCACTCTTGTTGTCACCAGACACGATCTTGGTGACCTCTACAGGGTCTTTATGACAAGAAAGGCCACAGAGTTTAGCTCTCCTGGCAACACACAGGAACAGTCAGAAATGCTATAGCTCAGCCCCCACCCCTGGGAGCTACCAGCCAGGCTGATCCCATCACAGCCTGCTCCTCCAGAGGGGGACAACGTGTCAGGCACAGYTTAGGGTACAAGTGGGTGGTGACATCAGGGCCTTCCCAAGCCCAGGGCACACAGCCAGCTCCTCGGAATTACCTCAAAGCCTCAAATTCAAGGCAGGCTTAAATGCTGCTCTACAATATAGCTGGTGCTTTTTCTGGCAYTGCAAACAGTCTGACAGCATTTAGAGCTGAGTAAGAGCCTGGTTTGGRCTGTGGGCCTGCTGTCCTGGCTAAATACATAAGTTTCATCTGGAAAATWTCTCCATGARGGAAACACCCAAGTGARYTCTCTTGCKCTGCAAAGGCTTGGTTTGATGTTGRTATGAGAAATGCATCGTGTGGTCTTGGAACAGCCGCTGAACGCATGTGTTCTTTCCTCTGCAGATTTCCAGTCTAATAGGTTTTAGAAGCAGTAAAAAAATAAAAAGGCAATGAGYATTTTAGTGAGGCAGCTTTCACAGGCTGTTTCAAAAGGTCTGGTTTTTTTTTTAATATTAAGCTAGGATTAACAATACAGTAATGTGAAACAGAAAACCTTCTGGAGTATTCAGATGAATACTCTAATGGAAGATGTCCCTGCTCATTGCAGGGAGGTTGGACTAGACAACCTCTAAAGGTCCCTTTCAAGCCAAACTATTCCATGATTCTATGATATCCCTGGAACCATCCCATAWATACTGGTTAATGTGAGCAAAAAAAAGCCTGGGGAAAAGAGAATTAATTAAATACTTGAGGAAATCCAACCTCAGGCAAATCAAAACTATCACAMAGGAATGAAAATTCAAAAATCCTCTTCCCCTCCCTTCCTACCACATTAATCTGATTTAAATTCTAATTTAGCTTTGCACATAAGCATGTCCTTGAGGGGAAGTTGCTGTTTTTTTGTTCTCTATTCAGTACAAAGCTGGCCAGCCCTTAAGAAACTGGACATGAAATGTTTAATTGTTTACCTGATTGAAGTAAACTTGAAAGGGGATTTCTGCTGAATGGGGGCTTCAGATCTGGAACCCTCAAAGTTTCTTCAGGAAAAAATATATCTGTAAGTGCTCTTCCCTCCCCAGCCTCTGAACACAACACACCTAGCAGGACTGAATGTGGCAGGCAAAGGACAGAAATCCCTCAGAAGGGCTACATCCCCATGACATTAAAAGGAAAATACCAGTTCAATCCAAGAGTTTATGCTGACAGTGACAGGATCAATGGATTCCACATAGTGCCACCAGTGCCTTGGAACGAGCAGGACCTGGAATTAGAGACATTACGTTAAGCAGAAGCCTGAAGGAAGATGTAAGGTGTTTCATTTTAGGCGATGTGGGATGCAGAGACAGAACTAAGCCAAGGATACAGTGGTGAGAGGTGATATTTATTGCTCTCTTTTCAAAAGCCTTTACTCAAGACTTAAATGTCTACTCTATCAATACTATCATGTAAGAAATGGACTTGATCCAGAACCACCTTCCATCCAAACTCCTTCCCACAGAGTCCTGAGTAGGACCATAACTGCTGTAGGTAAGCAAAATCCAGCAGTTCAGAGGGGATGCAGCTGGTAGCAGTATATGAGGGCTTTAGAGAGTCTCAGCCAAGCAGGAATTCTTTTGTAGACTCTCCAACTGAGCAGACTTTCCAGTTCCTTTAGAAGGACTGCCAGCTGTTTTCCCCAAAAAAGCAGGTATCCTTATGCTCATCTAGGTGACTAGGTGACAATAGGTAGCTTTAATTCTGGTAAATAATCACCAGGATTAAATCTGTCACTTTTAGCAGACAGGCTTTTAAAAGAAAATGTCATGGTTTCTGGGACAATCTCGTTTAGATCRGAGCATTAAAACAGTATCAGGATGATAGCTGTGACATAAAATTGATTCCAACCCATGGTTTTTATGGTACAAGACATTGATGTTGTTTTGATGATAGAGGACAAGCTTTGCAGATTACTGAACATTAGATTAACATGGAGCTATCAAGAAAAGCATAAAAGATATTTTTTGACAAGTAATAAAAATGGTCAGAGACAGATAAAAATATACACTTCACAATGGGGAAAGYGAAGCAATGATCTGTATCTGAATTGCAGACAATTCTTTCTCTTGGTAGACACAAATTACCTAGAAGAATGTTCTGCTCCCCAGATAGCTCTGTGCTTCATTATATCAAAACACGGCTAATGAGAAAATGTCTGTGGAGGAAACAATGGCACCAGTCCTGCAAACACTTACAGGACACTCGGAACACTCTCATTTTTGGGCTAGATGACAAAATGTTCTCCACAGGCTTCAATTTAAGTCAAACAAAAAAAGCGCTGGCTCTCCAAAGGTCAAAAACATTTGGAAATGGTTCTTAAATCCAGTACAGCATACAGAACAGAAAAGGAAGTCAGTCAGTGGAGGGTCATTATTTTAAAAATATCACTAGTTATTCCTGACATGTAAGTCTATGAAACCCCACAGACTGCAGCCAAAACATGTTTTCCATGCTGAACAAGTTTCAGAGATTTGTTTATCACCAAAACATCCCCYTTAAATGAACAGTGCGGTTGCATTAGCAACAATGGGTTTATCTGTTAGGAAGTGTTTGYCTATGTTTCACTGACTGCAAAATCACACAACCCCCTGCCCCCAAATGCTTATCTGCTCTATAGGGGATCTTACACTGAGCTCTGCTAAAGAATCTGGGTGCCCTCCAAGTGACTGGATGTAATGATGAACCGGGAAAACTTGGTTTTACAACAGAAGAAAGCAGAGCTCCTGTAAGTGGCTGTTTGCAACAACAGGATCCTTCCTGTGAGACTTGTGTAGGAACAGTGAGTTTCCAGCRTGCTGGAGGAGTGGATGAACACACTGGGGAATTGGGCTGTGCTGCAGAGGGACTGTGTAGGAAGGGAACACGAGCAAGACACAAATTCAGGGAAGTGTATAAATGTTTCAGYAAGAGATGCTGCCTGGAAAGCCAAGATGGAAATTAGGTATGGAACGTGCTGGCTCCACACGACTCACATGCAAAACAGAGACAGAATTGCTTTGGAGAGAGGAGGTACAGCCAGGAGGAAAACAGAATCCCTCCAACTTGTCCTGTGTTTTCAAACCAAAGGGGAGGAACTTGGTCCTTCAGAGACTGATCAGATTTCCCTTGCCAGCAGGTTAAGGGTAATAACTGCGAAGTTGTGTCTTTCTGCAGCTGGCACTCTTTGCTGATCCAATTTAGGGAAGAGCTATAGAGCTGCAACTCAAGTAGGCAAAAGAGGTTCCATAAAGACACTTGCTCTCCCACTTTTATTTTTGAACAAACTTATGCTTGTTAAAATAAGGATTTATAACAACAAGAACACTGAAATTATCAAAGAGCCAATGGACTAAAACTTTAAAGATGATGAAGAAATGGAAGAAGGTAATTAAAACAAAAAATACAGCTGGGAAGTGAGAAAAACTAACAAAAGATGAAAAAAAACCAAAAAAAAAAAATCCAACCAAAAGAAAACCCACCAAAAACCCCAGCAACCCAGCAAAGAAAGAGGTAGGATTCTTCTACATTTACAACTAGTACATTCTTCTGTTTCCAAATTAGAAGCAAATACACCCATAACAAAATGAAAACAAAAACCCCACCGCTGCTGCCTCTAACAATCAATTCCATAACAAAATAAAGCAGACATCCATATGTTTATGAATATGGGACACAGATTTAGCTACATTCCTATAGGAAATGTGAAAGTAAGCCACAGTGAATAACGCACACAAATGCAGCAAACATTTTACAGGGAAAATGTAAAGTGCAGTAAYAAGACAGAACTACTCCAAGCTAAGAGATAATCTTGTGCTACCCTGCTTTCTACAGAATATGTCCAACTTTGTTAGTGCTGGGAAGATACTGATCTAAACAGCAACCAATCAGATAATTTTAATATTTAGGCTAGTGACAGCCAAATATAGCAAATGAACTTAAAGTAGGACAGAAATCCCAGAACAGATAAAATGAAATGCTGTAATGGGAGGAAAGAAACCAAAGGAACAGTTGGGAGAGCAAGTGGAGCAATGCTGAAGACTTGTACAGCACAGAGAACAGARCAGGTTTAAATTCTCAGTGGACATGATTAACTTGATACAGTGCAAAGGTAGGGCAAAGGTGGAATTGCTTCAAAAAGAGAGCATACCCTGAAGTGAAATATTATACCAAGAAATTTCTGCTCATTAGAAAAAGGTGTTTAGCTAAATGCACACAAAAAGGAAGCCAGTGTGATGGGAAGATAAAGATGTGGGGCCACAGGTGGACTCGAGGAAATCCCAGAAGTGTTTGCAACCATGGCAATGAAAAGTAAAATTAAATAGATGGAGGCATAGTAAACCCTGTGGGAGCACCACCTGAGGACTCTGTGAGCCCTTCTGCCCCAGCCTGTGCCCCAACCCAGCTGGTGCYTGGCTGTCCTGGTGCTTGGAAGGCTCATCCTGCCTCCCTCCTGGTGCTTTCCCAYCTACTGAAACAGAGCTCCAAGGGCCAGAGGAGAAACATGGGCACAGCCCTGGGGAAAAGCTCTGTGAAGAGGAAGGGAGTGGGGCTGCATCAGGCCATATCCATAGTGACCCAGGTGAGAAAATGAGGGAAGCTCAGGGAGGAGGTGGAGTCAGCAACCTGCAGCTTTGACCTTTGGTTTGCCTGGCTTTTGGGGCATTCATGGGGTTCTCCRTATGYGTTGCAGGTTGAGCAGTGTTTYTATCACCAACCCTAGCATAAATTCAGCTCCTGGACTCTTYTGCTTCTTCTGTGATGGAGATGAYAGTTCTGGTGTCTTGAGGCTGGGTYGGGCTGTCTGCCTCTGGRGTGACTCTGGGCCAGCTCTGCAGTCTCCCACATGAAAATTGTTTATTCCTTCCCCAGAACAGAATTATCAGCCATCTATTATGTATAATGCTGTGACCAAGTCTGAATTTTCTTTTACTAAAATCACTTAAACTCTTTTCCAACAAATGTAGGGTTTTTTACTGTTAACCCCTTTTAAAAAGGCTTTTGTATATTTTGAGCTGGAACATTACATTGCCTTTGAATTACTGCATTTCTTGACTTACTAAAGCACTTTGCTTTGGTATAAATTATATTTTTCTTGGCTATCCAGACTGTCTTTCTGCTGTTCCCCACTTTAAGCCCARTCTGAAATTCTCACACCCTTTCTTCAAAGGCAGCACACAGGGAAAAAATCCCTCCCTGACTTCATGAAGATTTCTTCTTGCTCAGGGTTGGGTTAGARGTCAGAGATTTGCCTGTGCTGTTGAGAGCTCTGGTGCTGAGCAGGATCCCATGGTGTGTTAGATTCTGCAGCAGGAGCACAGAAAGAGAAAATCTTGCAGCTAAACACAGGAACTGAGTGATAACTGTATTTGTGGACACAGACTGAGTTTGAGATGTGTTTCTTTAGGCTTTAAGAAAGCAGGTAAGCAGAATCAGGGRAGGAGAGCTTCTGAGCAGCAGACCATGGTGAGAACCAGCAAGCCGTAATGTTGATCTTTTTCTAAAATCGTTATTTCCCAACCAGTGACAATATTTTTCACGGCCTGAAGGAGAGCATCCTTCTCAGACTCGATGTGACTCTCACAACCAGTTCAGGCCTTTCCCTGCACTTCTGCACTGCAGCTCCTCTGGCTCCAGGCTGCAGTGGGGCACAGGAGGGCAGGCCAGGAGTGCCTCTAAGAACCGCTGTCTGGGGGAGCATGAGGGGCAATGGGATTGCTCCTGGGAGCCCAGGGTGCCAGCTGCTTGCTCTCCATCAGGAGGGCAGGTSTGAGAAGCCTTTTGTGTCCACTTTTAGATAAGCTCAGATGCACTTTCTAAGTCTTTTTACCATTGTCTAGTTAGGTGGATATGGATTAACAGGGTGAGGGGTTAAGAGCAATTACATTAGTGAGCAGGAAGGAAGCCAGAGGCCAGTAAGAAGTGGGGCAGAGGAAAGAATGATCAATGATTTTACACTTATATAGCATCTCAATTTTTTTTAGCCTTTTCAGGTGGTATCCATCTCTCCTATTTTTAATCATCAAAAGAGTTAAGCACCTATGTGTGCAGGCTTCTTCTATAGCCTGTGCTAAAGGACAAGGTGGGATGAACATTCCTGCAGGACTGTCATTGTGTAAGACAGGAAGGATTCATTGCCTTGTTGAGGTGCCAGGTGCCAATGATGGCAGAYAGGACACCTGTCCTGAAGAGGGTTTAAGCTGAGGATAAAAGATCATGCCCTAACTCTCTTATCACTTGTCTAGAAGATAGTAGAACAGATATGTTTTATCCCATTTGYGGTCTTTTAGTGAGTATTTGTATATTTGAGAAAAGAATCAAGATACTACTTAAAGGTTGCAGAATTTAGTCAACCTTCTGCTCCATACTTAGTCCTCAGCCTTGCAACCATCACATAGRTGACYAGGTCCAAATATTMATAAGGAACCCATACATTTKTGTGGCACAACYTGAACTTGTAACTTTCACGATATASTGGATATGGTCATGTTCTGCTGCAACCCCTTTAACTACTCAGCTGCCTATTTTAGTAAGCTTGACATCTAAATGTTTGCATAATTTGTCTGAGAACACATCACTAATGCATAGCCAGAAGTTAAGACCTCTGTGGAAAAGCATCTGACAGCCATTGGTCAAGTACAGATGAAACCATATAAAACCTAAAATCTCAGTCTGCTACCAAAATTCGTAACAGAATTCTGACAATTCTGAACAATACACTGGAAGGGCACAAAGGAACTAGCTGAAGTACACACTGTGCACTGGCACAATGTTACATGAAGGAATTCTGCTTTTCGGCAGACRGGGTGTAGAAAAATGGCTGCTAGCAAACATTGACCAGAAGGTGGCATTAGACACATTAAGTTTTTGATATTCAATGCTGCACTCACCCTACATGCAGCTGCTCTCCTGAATACCTAAGTACACCTTTGTCTTCATTTTTTCAGCCCTTTATTGTTACAATAATCCAAAATGTTCTGTGTACCCTCTGGGAATGAGTGGAGACACTACTAATTATCACAAAATAAAGATGCCTACAAATTCTGCAGTAATTGGGCTAATTCTATGTGAAAACCACTGTGAAGCTCATATCAAGATTGYTATTATTTATAAATCCTCTCCTTGTTAATAAAGGAGTTCTTCTAGGTCATTCCTTTCCTCCCCATCAAATGGCAGCATTTCCCAGCCACCTGCCCCCTAAGCTTCTGGATGAGATGCTGACACAGAAGGCACTGATAAAATGGATGAAGGCAATACCTCACTGCTCCATCATTGCTTCTACATTACTTTCCCCTACAAGAAATCCAAGCAGTATCTCCTTCATAGCAATGCGGACAAATTGTATTACTGAGCTGGCTCAAGATCTTTACTCCTAGCAAGATTAATTTGTAATTGCTTTAAGCCTAATTAAAATTAAGATCATATTAAAGGTTGACTACCGCACTTGATCATTGCAAAGCAGATTATAAATTCAAAYAGTATTGGGGATCAGGGATAATGCAGTGCTGAATGGATGTGGCATTTTTTATCAATAGTAAAAATTTGTTCTTTGTGCTTTACATTACATGACTGCTGCAATCTTMCAAAGTGCTGAATGTGAAACTAACAATTTGCTTTAGGAGTATGAGTGTGAGCTAATGCAGTGCAAACAGTGAAGGCTGATCATAGATTCCCCATTTGCATCTGTACCAACTGCAGAGCGTACACTTCCAGTTGCTGAGTATCATCCTCTGGTTGGAAGCTACTATCCTGCCCCATCTGCCTCCTCAAAATTAACTTAATTATCAAAAGTTCATTCTTTAAACTGTTGAAGGCAGCTGGATTTGCCAGTTAGGGACAGAGGAACACTCRTACAAGTTGTTGAGCTGGCAGGTCAAAAGAGGTGACAGTATCTGGTAGGAGAATGGTGAAAGGGCTCCAGAAGCAGCAATTCCACTGTCGGAGCAATGACCATTGCAAAATTCCTTTGGAAGGGCCTGACAGTTTGAGATGCGCAGCAGCGTGTTACAACGACATGCACGGCTGAACAAATGAAAAAGGATAATTCAGGCTCCAAATACAGACCTTGTTGATTAAATAAAGAAGGACACTATTTATGGCAGGAGACTGGGAATCAAGAGTCTTGAGCCCAACTCTCACACTGCTGCTGACTACCTGTGTGACTGTTACAGCTGTACTTCCTCTGTAAAGCAGGAACATCCTCACAGCCCTGTAAAGCACCATGAAACCTCTGGATGGTATGCACTCTAAATGCAAGTATCATCATGRAAGTATTTATTAAAGCAACACGTGAAAGATATTCACCACCAAAATATGAGTTCCTCTGCTAGCTCTATATACTCATTAACTAAATGCATTTTGTGGAACATACTGCTGTCAGAGTAGACAAGTCAGAGTTCAAAAAAGTTCCAAAGTAGACACATTTGAGGTGGTTGTAAGAAAGGTGGTTGTATGGAATCAGGCAGCTGATTGAACTAGCTCACCAAATGTCTGCAGTTCTTGTACAAAAATGTCTAGGCAAAAAACTGCCAACAAAGAAAATTCCGGTGCTGAGAGAAATTATAATATCTGAATGCAGAGTGAAGGAAAAGGGAAGCTCCACAGTCAATTTGTTAAGATTTCCTAGACCTCAATTAGCCAGCTAAACAGAATACTAAATGATGTAAAGCCCGCATATAAATGGTACCTGTCCTGGACTGAGTGTGACAACATGGGCTGTTGAGTTCCTAAACTCGGGAAAGCGTTTCAGATCMGGGTTGGCAATGTTGACTTTGCTGAATATGCTGGATTCCTCATAAGGGATCCTGGTAGGATAAAGGAAACTGGTGTCACCAGGTGGGAAGAGGTGCCATCTCTTCCTGAAAATAGAGAGAAGATAAAAACGTATTCAGTGCGTGTCACTTACAGCAAAGAACTAAAGGCAATAGCAAGGTTTTCAATAAAACATAAATCTGCCTCGCTGTGTGAATCTCCTACGCAGTGAGAACACAGGCAGTGCTTACAGGCTGTCTCCTGGAAGTGTTTTTAAAATATTCCACTTTTTAATTTTTTAACTGGAAAGATTTACAGCTTCTCACCAGTCATTTTTAAAAGGCAGATAAAATAAAATTTAAAAAGCTTCTCCCATCTGGTTTCTCCTTCTTCCTTTTTACATACAGCATTTACAGATGCACAGAGCATTAAAAATTGCTCTATAAACTTGAGGACATAGTTTAGTYACAGACAATGTATTTTTGTTCACAATGAAAAGCTTTCAAAATCTGTGTTTGTTTTGAAAGGAGGGCATCTTGTGTTTYGGATGGCAACAGTAAAAGGGCGTAGATATTATCTTCTGTTTCCTGCAGTGCTTGCACACCTGTCAGTCACAAACACCGCATTCTAAGTAAAAATCACCTTGATGTTGCCATGCCAAAGGTGGCATAAATAAAAAAAAAAAAAAACAAAACAGATACATACATAGGATACATAGGACATAAGCATCCTTAAACATCTGTATTTTTTTGTGTTATCAGTACCAGATGATGAAAATGTGGCTTGCTGTGCATTTAAGAACTTACTGGTGTGACTAAATGCCAGATGGAGCAGGACAGGGCTGCTCTGCTCATGAGGACACTCATGTACCAGGTTGCTCTCTAACACCCGAAAAAGTGCATGAATGCACCACAGTGCAAGGCCAAGCAGAGCTGAGACCAGACTCTGTCCTCAGGAGCTGATGTCTCTATTTCACTTACCAGCTCAAAGAGCAAAAAAAGAATATGCCAGAACTGGTGGTGCCAGTTTTATGCGTACTATAAATGAAATACCTTAGCAGGTACATATGTTATTTAGAAGTTTTATATCACAGCACTTTAGGTGATAGAAATAACCAGAAGGAACAAGAGAGAATTTATTACATTTAAGAGGTGCCAGACAGTACAAACAGTACAACATGACCAATGCACTAAGCTTTGGAAAAGTAAAGGCAGCACTTCACAGCACAGCTGGACAGCTTGTGTAGCTCTTTCTTTGTTTTGAACTCTAGCAAGGGCTTTTCTTTGTGTGCCTTTCCTTGGCACTAATTTCTTGCATTTTGCTTCTGGTTGTCAGTTCTGAGTCACAGATCTGAAAATGGGAGCMAAGTAACCAAATGGCACAAAACCAGAACAGACAGGAACAGCAGAGATAGGAGTAACAGGATAGCCAGAACTACAGAGACCAGCACCGATGCAAGTGCCATGGGCTGCTGATATTTCTTGGTAATTACCAGTGCAACTGCTGGATGCAAGTACAAAACCACTTCTCCTGAAACTCAAGTCTTATTGCAACTTTATTTTGCCCTCCAAGCTAGATCCTCTGAGGGGCCAGAGAATGACTAGGTTAGAAAGCTCGGGGTTAATCCTGCAGGCTCACGACAAAGCAATATCATAAAGTAAAAAATTAAGAAGCCTGAGGGATGCAAGGAGGAAATTCAAGATAGCAACAAAGGGCTAAGGAGTCGTCCCTGGCTTTCYTGCAAAGGCAAATCTATTTAAGTTTAGCATAAGCTTATATTCTGTTACAAAGCCTGTCTTGTTTGTGAGTCTCAAAAGGGAATCTTTCTGCTCTGAAGAAGCACAGGATTCACAAGCTTGTGGAAGTTTGCAATCTATTTAAAGGCTTTGTTCTGAAGAGGAAAACAGCTTTGTCTTTTCAGGCTGTGCAAAAGCTTTGGATTTTTTTCCCTGAGAGGAACAAGGATTTTGTTCTACCTGAGAGGGAGAGAGTACTTGGGAAGGTGGACAAAACTGCTACGTGATGCTGGAACTCTGGCTCGAGTTCAACATCTGAAGGCAAAAATCAGAGGCTTGGCAGGTATCACATCCACTACATCACTGTACTTATTTAGTACACCCAGTATTTAAGTGGTCCTTACAAGATATTTAGACATTTAAGTCTCATAGTTTTCAATGAGATTTCTGGCTCCTGAATACACTGAAGTGTCTGGACTTCAATGCACAATGCTTACTGAAGTGATCTGAAGTCTACAGTACTGGCTGCAGCACAGCTTTACTGAGTGAGGCTTGCAGAGTGTCTCTGCTGCACATCCACCCAAGAACCTCAACACTATTCACAAATACGAATGAAAACTCTAAAGAGAGTTACATCTTAGAGATAAGATGATGACAAATTCATTTACCTTAGGCCTTAAAGACAGTCAGCCTGGGGCATTGCCCAGCTAGAGGGCAACACACCTCTCTTCCAATCCTGCACCTTAATCACATCACCATGATTTCACTGTTCTGTGAGATGTAAGAGTAATTAATTCTATTGAAAACCCACCAGCAAATTACTCCTTCCACTCTMTACTATCAAACCTAAAAAGTGTGTGCAACTTGTTCTGTTACTCTAGCACTACTCTAGCAATAATAGATAACAAAAAAAAMMMCAAAAACTAAAMWACAAACACCAACCCTGAGGCTAATATGCAAGGAAAGGAGAAAAAAAWKGRAAAAAAAAARCATGCAAACAGGCAGAAAGATACAACAACAATTACATGCTCCCAAATGAGTTTGGAGCCTCAAATGTCCCTTTCAACTTTGCTCACAGCTGGCTGTTCCCATCCTGATGGTCCCCTTTAAAATTAATTCTAGCAGGCTATTAGAGGTTCTTGCACAGAGAATATTGTAAAAGTCTAAAGTAGTTTATTTCTATTTTGTTTTGGGGCATTTTATTTTTAACTCTTTTATCACCTAATTCCAAATTCCTAACTGCTAGGAAGATTAAAGTGTTTATAATTGGACCATGTAACACACATACCGGAAAATAAAATTGTGTTAATTCAACAACCCAGTCAAACCAATGCCCTAAAGTTCTGCATTTCCTGCAGAACAGTTAYGATGCTCTTCAATCATTGAGAACACAAAAAACTAAAATAATCAGGACCTAGAATTAATATTCAAAAAGTCCAAAACTTTATGCACAGTAACTCTCCCCTGTATTTGCTGTATGTATGTGCACTTGTTACCTTCCTTGTACTTGCAACACTAAGTTGCAGCCGTAGGAGTCCAAATGGCAGGGAGTATTTGCTCCTTCAGAACCAATCCACAGTGTGCTCTCTTTTCCATTTCTTCCAGGAAAACCAAAGTCAGACCACCTTACATCCTACAGCAATAAAAAGATTATTTATGTAAGCAGTTGAACTGATTCATGCCCTGTCCTTAGTTCTGAGAGTCTCCTCTCTTCTCTTTCCACTGCTCAGTCACTCTTTATCCTCTAGAGCTATTGTTCCTTGGTTGGGTTTTGGAGCACACATGGTCTRTTCCACTTCCTCTAAAATTCTTCTTTCTAGTACCATTCCTTCTGTTGACTTGTTTTTCCGTCTGACAACACAGCCTCAACTGGATCTGTCTCCAGTTCTCATCCCCACCTTTCACATCACTAAACTACTCCTTAGCTCTACAAAAGGACTGCCCAAATTCTCACGGTCACAGGGGGCTTCTCTTCCTTTTCAAACACTTTATCCTTCTCCACCCTTAACCATCCACCCAACCTCAGGATTGCTTTTAGAAAAATTCTTATATATGGCATTTAAAAAGAGAATGAAGGGAAAGAAAGAAAGAAAAAGATCCCTGTTCCCTGTTCAAACAATTGATAATGAAATTATGTGGAGTGTTGGCTCTCTCTTTGCTCCCTACCTCAGCTTTTTCCATGTAGTCTGGAAAGACTACAGACTTTAGCCCACCTGTGGCTCAGTGTTATGCTGGATTTTTCAAGTTTCTTGTTATTTAATGGAGACATTTGCAACTGCAGAGGCAGTGAACTTAAAACAACTTGATGACATGGTGAGAAAGGGCAGAACAGGTGCAGAACAGTGCACATATTATGAACACAGTCCTGGATCTTTCCAGTCCGTTAATCCTCCCACAAGCAATCCCTTGGGGATGACATTTGGAAAGAAGCACAGTGAGGTATTTTTCAGATAGTCCAYGGGTTTTGCAGAATGGTTCTGTATAGCTTGGATAAAGCTTTCCCATGTATCTACAGCTCACCCTGCCACCTGCAGGGCTGATCATTTGTTTATTGGAAAGCACTTGAGGTATACTGGCCAGAGATACTGGTGCCTTTTGGCTGGAGCCCCAGACTGAGCCTTAGGAAACAGAGATTAAATTCCTGGCTTCTTGATGGTCTTGGGCAAATCACTTCATCTCTGAGTTTTATTTTTCCCATCTTGAAAAGGAAGATAACGGTACTTGTTCCATTTCAGTAAAGCACTTTAGGGTCATTCACATCACCTAACTTTAGGAACCTAATTTAAACTTGGCTCCTGCTCTAGTCAAAGCACTCTCAATCACACCTTGGAAAAGCCTCTCTTTTTCTGCTGTCTATAAAGACAAAATAGGAGTCTAGGAGTCCTAATTTAAGTATGTAAGCTTGCTGCTGGAAGACAGGTGAATGGCTATCCTTTTTAAAATCTATGGATGAAGAAAACTACAACTAGACATTATAAGGATGACTTCACCATGACTCTGTATCAGGAAACCCTCAAAATGAGCGATAGCATTCCCAAAAATTAGGTGTTGCTAAAGATTCTGAATTTCAGAGTTATTGATTTTAAAGACATCATTTGAAAAAAATGCAGAAATGTAATATAAACTTTGACAAATAARTATTTGTCAAAGACAGCAAAAGATCAAAAAGACAAAGTTGCTCCTATAGATTTCAACAGGCATAAAATTTGAAATTCAATACAACTATTTCAGTGAAAAAGTTAAGCATAACACCCTCTCTACACTTTAATCTCACACCTAAATAGTTTTTATATTTTGTTACAATTTAAGTGAAAAGAAAGCACACATAATCAATATTAGATTTAAAAGAACTTTTTGAAAATGCTGCTGCTGTAGTAAATAGTTGAAGCGATTGTGGGTAAAATAGTTTTTAACCAATGAACTGAAAAGGAGCTGGTAGTATTACTGAAATCTTGTCACACTGAGTTCCTTTTCTACAATAAAAAGCCACAGTAAGAAGAAATGCACTAAAAGGTGTTCCAACCATAACAGATGGCACATTACTTGTGAAATATATTTATTTCATTTGCTGCTTATAATGAAGTTAATCTGTACCCGTATGTCACTTTAAAAGGTCTCATTTCTATTTAAACTTCATGCATGTATCTTGTTCCTGATTTATATCTCAAATTCTGTAATGAAATATCAACTGAACAAAAATGTAAGATGCTAGATATTGCTCATAGATTAGAATAATGGAATCATTACCTTAGCCCACACAACTGTAAATGATAAACAGTGCAATCTAAATTTCAAACAACTTCTAAATRGCCCTATTAATCACTATAAATAACAGTGCAGTTGGCCTTCTTTTCCCCTTCAAATAACCTTACGTAAATCTAAATAAAATCAAGAAAGGAAAAAAGGGGTTATTATCAAATTCACACAAGAATGGAAGAGAATTTCTACAAAGAACTCTTTTGGCTGGTAWAAATTGTGTAGCAGTGTTTCAAAAGTCATGTGAGTCTGGAACTGGCGGATGCATTTCTCTCCCATGCCTGTGAAAATGGCAGATGACACACACCATATTTGCTTGCATAACACCACCCATTTTTTCCTTCCCAGATTCTGCTTTTCAAAAAAATCCATGGCATAACCATTACGTGTGTCTATTCTAAAACTGCAGTACAATCTGTTGCGTTATAGGTCAGGTGAATAGGTTGTGGCATGATACCTGCACAGAAATGCAACTCCTGGAGTCTCAACTTTGTTTTTGACTGGGGGCAAGGGAAAGAAGGAGGTAGGAAAATGGCTGTTTCCTTCAAGTGTGTTTTTATTGACTGAAGGRAACAGCAGGCTTTTCAGGTCTTCTRGGCTGTTATTGGCTTGTGCCAGAAAACACATGGAAATGCTGTCTATGGAGGCAGAAAAAGAGAAGATCAAGACAGGGTCACAGAAAGAGAAACTTATGCAAGGATCTGGGGAATGCAGAAACATTCCTGGCGCTCCCAGCGTTGTTCAAACTGAACCAGCTCAAGGTTATGTTTCAGTACGCTCAGGAGGGGAAGGGGTGAAGAAAGGCAAGATGATCTCTGTTTCCAATCCTTACCTTCCAACCCACACAATAATAAAGTCTGACAAGTCTGAAAAAAGACTGATCATTGAAAAATACCAATTTTGCTGGTATAAAAGAATAAAATACATATAAGGAACATGGGAAATGCTGTCTGAGGAAATAATTGAGGGGCCTTATCAGTTCATACATGTTGTAATCCCACTGATGCAGTGATTTTGCAGGGAATTATGATTCCACTTACAATTAAGGCATTGCCTACTCTTTGTATCTTTTGAAGAAGCACACCTTTTGTATAGCTATCCTTAATTTTGCCCTCTTACAATTTGCAAGGAGAAGTAGCAASAATGTAGATGAACCAATACATTGAAATAGGAGATAGGCACAGAGAAAATAAAAGGAAATACCTTGAGTAGTTGTCCCTCTATGTATGGTAATTACCATAGATTATGCACTTCCAAGGGAAGGTTACTTCCTGCATTTTTCTGCATCCATAGAATCTCTCCTCACAAACAGTTAATCTAATTACATTAACGGAAGGAGCTGTGCTACTTAAGGAAACGAGCCACAAAGCAAAACATGGAGCAAAGCCATGTTACAGCCTTGTTACTACCAGTGAATACATGCCATCAATCCTCCTCCTGAGTGGAGCTGTTAATTTGGGCACCATTTGGGTGCAAGGTGGATTGGGCCTAAATGGGAAGGAGAGTGCTGACAACCTGGTAGTTCTTTTTGTCACTTGGGGTGTTGTTTGTAAACTTATAAGGAGACCCAGAATTTTAGATGGCTGCCACTTCGAAGACTTCAGTTAACCTGAGAGCAAATCAAYAGCTTTTATTTCAAAATTTTAAAACAGGTGGCCATAGCAGCAGAGAGGGATGGCGGGAGAGGTTTCAGAAGCTACATTAGATAATTTGCAATGGTTCAACTAGGAAGAGATAATGTTACTGTTTTACCTGGAAAATTTCTGGCTTGTCTTCAAATATCCTGGYAATGTATTTGTAGTCAGCATAAGCCCAGTATTTGGAGTAATCGTAACAACTGAATGGTCCAGAAAGACAAGGCTGCCCACAAGTCCAAGCCAAAAACTCTTCAAGTGTAGCTTCCACATAGCTACAACTGGTTTCAAACTGGGGAACTGAAGCAACAACAAAAAAAAATCAAGTATTACATGAGCATTGAGCACAGAACCAGTAAAAACAATAACAGTTTCTCTCCCAGCTCTGGTTAAACACAAGATATGAATCGGACTATGTAGCTTGACTTTGGTCAACAAAATGGTTCTCATGACCTAACTCATAAGTAAAGTCTGAGACTATTGTTTTTTTCCTTAAGGTTTAAGTGAATGGCTGTTACCTTGAACTTGCTGTGAGACAAAAACAGACCAATAATTAGTGTTGTTCTTCAGCACAGTAACTCAATAACACACTCAGGTTTGCTAAACAGCTTTGCTTCATCTCCCTTTCTAAGCGTGAGCTGCAAATGTGCATGCCAAGTATTTATGTGTCCTTTACTTTGTCTCCACAGAATTATGCAGATGGACATGTTCATCTTACCCTTTCCCTAATGCAATAACCAAACCAGTGTGGTCATGCATAGAAAGAGAGTTATGGAACCACACACATGCTGCCAATGATCCATCTAAAACACTGTGCCCCTATTTTTCATTTGGGACTGACAAAAGCATATTGCAGTGTTCCTTGGCAGACACAAAAAGTGTTTACCAGCAGTGTTTTGCTCCCAGCATGCTTTGGTCAGGCTGACTGATACAGCCTCTCAGCTCAAGGTCAGGTCACTTGGAAGRTCTGTAAGACAACCCACATCACAGTATACTTTAATTGCAGTTAATCAGAGATCTTCATTTCCCGCASCCACTAATCATGCCAGCTTCAAAGAGACTTATCCAGTGTTAAAAAAAAAAATATTACTTTACTATAACTACTACTGGGGAAAAATTACTGCAGCCTGCATGAATGACAATGACAGAGCTGCAATTTAACCTTGTGTAACTTGCATAGAGCTGCACAGAAATGGGATCCTTTCACTGYTGTGCAGCAGCAGCAGCTCTTCGCTCTTTACCACTTTCATTTTGTTACTGCAGCAATTCTCACAGAGTCTCATACAGCTTTTACAAACCTTTACCACTATTATTTTGCTATTTTCTATTGTAGTAATATAGGTAGTGGTTTCCTTCCCACCACTATCAAATCATTAACTAAAAATGTCAGATAAGCCCTGTTATTCAGCAGTCTGTAACCTGTGTCTGTGCAGTGGAAGGGCTCCCAACCTAAGGACTGCATTCGAGACATATAAATCACTTGCAGTTCACAAAATCCCAACCAAAACCCTCTGTCTGATCCTKTATCAGTGTTGCAGTCCCTCTCCTGATATCCAGTTATAAATGCCATGCACATTATATTACTAAAAGGTGGTCTGACAGAAAAACTAGACAAAACATACAAGGACTTCTGAGGGAGCCACAATATCTGTATTACTTTCATGAAAACAAAGAATGCTTAGGACACTATTTTCCAAGATAGCTCAGAAGCAAATGTTTTAAAGGCAAGAAATATGCTCTTTCTACCCCACATTAGTATTTCACTATGAGTTTCATTTAAAAAAAAAACCCAACTATGAAACAAAATAATATCTTGTAGAATACAATCTCCTCAGGGCAGGGTTCTTGATTTATACTTTGTTTAGTACCAAGGTGTGGGTGCGTATGGAAAAAAKAAATAGTAATAAAAAACATATTTGGGCAATCTAGACAGATTGCTTGGATGAGTTTGTAGGCTGCAACAAGGGTGAAAATGTTAGCAATGATCAACTGAAAGCAAGAACATTATTAACCAGTTTGCTAATACTTAATGACTAAAAGCTGAGGGTGTTTCATAATTGACAAATTGCAGATTAAGCCATGCAAGTCTAAAGTAGGTTGCCAGTTCTGTCTGATGACATAGTACCTGAAGGCATAACAGTCCTCCTCTTCCATCTAATGTCACAGAGAAATAGAGGGAATGAGAGAGGGAAAAAGTGGGTTTTGGACAAACAGCTCTGCTCCTTAGTTAACGTCTGGCCCTGACAGTTGCCAAATTCTGTTCTCAGAGTGTTTGCAACGTGTACTAAAGGAAATGTAGGAAAAAAAAAAGGTTTCACAGCCTTAGAAAACACCTAAAGGTCCATTAAGAATGCAAGTGAAATGTCTTCTCCACTTCTTCAAAGAAAACCAAATGCCTATTCACAGCTGCTGGGGAATTAAACAAGTAATCCAAGCAAGGAATAGCCATTTCGTACTATAATAAGGCACAGACATACTCACAAACAAACAAAAAAAAACAAAACTGGTCATACACATCCAACTCCAAWAACCACTTCAGATCTCAGCTTTATGCAACATTTAATCAGTGTACAGCATTTGTACTGTATTTTTAGCCTCCTATTCACTACTCATTCTATTGCCACCCTTGCAGTCTCTCTGTATGAACCCTCAAAGACCTGAATTCTTTTGCCATCCTTTGTGGCAAAACCTCTTGGCCAGATGGTCGAGTTGCAGCCCTTTGCCATCCAACTGCGTATCTGACAGCATCAGCTCTATCCAGCATCCRTAAGAGAAACATCCTCCAGAGATCYTGTGACTCAGAAAGTGATCAGCATGGCAACAACTGTTCTCTCCAGCCTCTTCACAGTAAACTCATTGTTGATTCATTTTACTATGCAACCACAGATAATGGCCAAAACAAGAACTGACTGCAGAGAGAAGTCAGTTTTGTGTAAGCTTTCTTCTTACTTTGTTATTGCTGGCATGCTCCAGGTAGCCATCAGACAGAATACCTATAATGCTGTATTTTCTCTGTCAGAAAAAAGACTTCTGTACTTTTGGCCCACCCTTTATCCCACATCAGAAAAATAAATCCTTTAGTGTGGCCGGTATCAGCTGGGTAGGGATTTCCTGATTAATAGCACCTTCATTGTTCTTGTAATGAACTCTGGTACTCTCTTTGAAGGTATCTTTGTCAATGCTTAGTCTTCTGATCGTATTTTTTTCCCCTTCTTATGGACACAAACTGTTTAACTTGTGTAATCAGACAGAACATTGTAAGACAGAATACTATCAGATACACATTTAGGTACAAATAATTTACAGAAATAATACTGCTAGCTACCGCATTTTCCATGTTTAAAATGTGCCATCCACATCCATATGCCTCAGGAAGTTATAAAATAGTAAGAAAAGCAAATACAAAATCGCAACTCCCACCAAGCTGTCCCATTTGCAATTCTCGCTTTTGTACATTAAGGAATCTTCAGTTTGGGAATCCCATCCAGGCTGCAGATGTGGCACTAAAGAAAAATGAGAAGGTGCTGTAGTAAGAGGTCTCAGATAATTCTGGGTCTTTCAGATGAACCTCATGGTTTAAATAATCYCAGAAACTGAAGCTGCTATTTCAGAGTGACACTAGAATACGCCTACAGCAGGAGAATGGATTTTCTCTTCTGCATTTCCAGCTTTGTGGCAGGAGTGGTCCCACCTAATCTTAAGGCAATAAATCTATTGTGAACATGGAAGGAATATTAGAGAGCRCTCAATGAAATTTTAGTTCTATTCTAAAACACAAATTCTGTTCTCTCTCTAACCACATGACTGGTTCCTTTTCACGAAGGAAAGTTAGCATGAACAATAAGAGAGGCCCTCATTAAAAGTAGTTTTTTAGCATGCAAGAGTGAGATCAGCCACCTTCCAATCGACAGTGGCACATGCAATGTATTACATTATTTCAGACTCTGAGATGGATTTGATAATGGCTTCAATAATACATTCTTACATTGCAAATTTTTTATAGCATCACAGGTCTCATTCAGTTACAATATAACCCCTGAAGGCWGTACCCATCTCCTTGAAGACAATTCTAACCCACATTACCATATAATGGAGATTCCTGGAGACCAACTGATGGCTGCATAGGGATAAATGCCTTTAGAAAAAACCAAAATGCAGATACATGCTTTAAGATATAAATTCCAGTTTAWATCCACTCTGTATCTCTAGTGACTWCAAGTTATTGTTAAGTGATGACTCTTATCTACTTAGCTGGTAGCATCAATCCCTGTCTTAGCTACATAACACTCTATCAGTAAAAAAACCCTGCCAGTTGGCACATCCATTTGGCTCTCCAAAAGTGCCTACTAATTAAYGAAGAGTAGGACCAAAACTGTTCTTTTAACTGGTAGGCCTTGCATGTTACAGCTGAGATATATGAACAAGGTATCAAGGTATGTGTCATACACATACACACATATATATATAGATATATGTATATATGCTACACCCTTCCTATAGGCAATGGGATGCATTTCACACATAGTGCAGGAACTGGCTGGTACATCACTGAACTACAGACATATTGCTATGAAGATGCATACCAATGTATTGATTCCACACCTCAGTTTTCCCATCTGTAGAAAGTGAGTAAATAACATCTGTTTTCCCAGGAATGGCATAGAAATAATTAATCCATGCTGGTAAAATGCCTTGAAATCCTAACATTCTCCCTCTAACGCTTCTGTTTCATCACTTCTCTTGCAAAAATTGAACATGAAAGAACATGATCATGATGCTGTGAAGAAAGCAAATTTCAAAGTGTTAAGTAAGATAGTATGATGTAATTCTACCACTTTCATTGGAACTGGCAGACACTCATCGAATCTATGTGCACACTCTACAATCCAAGAAAGAGGAAGTCCAACTGAAGAAGGTTAGAAAACTACASAAAGATTAGCCATGTGGAGTCTAAATAACCATGACTTACATTGAATATTTTTAAGTGGACTTCTGTGGCCTAAGGATTCAAAAAACTCGTAAAGGTAGCCAAGACACTTCATAGGCAAAAGGGAGAAAGTGCATGGCAAAATCTATTTTGGTATGATGTTGGGAGGACAGCGGATATAAAGGACAGGACTAAAGCAGTGCATAACCTTCAGGTGGATAGCAGAGAACCACCTTGGAACATGCTTCTTGTATCTTTGCTCCATGGTGTGACACTCAGTCTATCCATGGACACAGCATTGGGTGGCTACAGCCAGAGATGAAGCTGTAGTACWTAAAATCAAGTTGGAAAATTGTCTTTCTCCCATGGCATGTTCCAATATGTATGAGTGRATCTGGAGGGTTAGCAGTGAAATTATTGCACTGGTGTCAAACGATTTTCTTAATGCTTTGTACTTCTATTATGTCTTTCATCACAGGACCTTAAAGTACCGAAAATCACCTAAGTATTTAAAACCTCTGGAGGAAGGTTAGAATTACCACTATAACAAATAAAAACCCCAAAATAGACTAATTATTTAGCTAATTCCATAACACAGTCAAGCTTGGACATGGCCATAACACAGTCAAGCTTGGACATGGACATGGAAGCTCAGCTCACGTGAGCAATCTGATCATGTGTAAGACCAGACCAAACACACACACTACAAGGAAGGAAAACTGAGAGGCTTGATTCTTAAATGCTGGTGTTACCCACCAGACYTCCTACTAAGAATAAACACGAGAAAGAAAAGGGAGAGGTCTACAGAGGTCTACTGCTGGCCAAATCCCATGTCCCAAAAACAAAGCCTGCAGTGAAAAGCAATACATTAGAGAAAGAACAACTRTAATGAAAGGCAGATAATTGCAGGACCTAAAAAAGAGGCTTAGAACRTTAATGCCTGTCCTCATTCTCACCTAAAGCCACTGTCTTCAGGCCSAGCCTAAACTGGATTGTCTTTCCCTCCAACACAGTAGAAAGGTATTYTGCATTCCAGTGCAGGGCTGGCCAGTCGCTGACCATGTTGCAGAAGATTGCAGGTTGCTGTAGAGACATCACAATTTCCTTGCTTTTCTCAGGAGTAAATGGTTTGACATCTTCACCTATGTAAAGAAAAAAACAAATGGAGAAAGATGATTTATCAATCATGAGGTGTTACCTACCATCTTCCATGGGACAGAAGACATTAAGAACTAAGACCTCCTTTGCTTATGACTGTTTTATTATATTTGTAGATCTTTTAAGAATCAAAGTTGTACTGCAAACACAGGAAGAACTAARTCTAAGTTTAAAACTGTGTATTAGCACACAAACTGTAAAGCAAAAAATAAAAATAGGCACATGCTTAGAATTTTCACTTTTATCTTARGCAATAAAGCACTGTAGCCAAACTGCTTAGAAACAGGTTAACAATAAAATAAACTTGCAAATAACGTCCAGAGTTTAGAGAACATAAATTTCATGAGTAACAGTCTTTCTGCATGGGATTGTTTCCRAAATTGTAGTGCATTGTCAGAGATAGCAAACCAGCTCTGCATGCGTTCGATTTAAACCAAAGAACAGTAGCATAACCAACCAGCAGGTAGTTTTGAAGTATTTTAAASTTTCATCAACAGAATTTTAGAAAAAGAAAATTGTGCCGATCCAAGAACTAAACTAACCCAAGATTTCCATTTATTTCTTTGCTGTTTAGAGAGTTATACACCCTATTGAAACTGTCAAGCTGAAATGCTGGCAGTCTTGAATTAACTCAGCACTTTCAGAACAACTTTTCTTTAGGGACATATTCAGGAGGAAAATCTGGGGTTTTAAAGAAAGGAATAACATAACATCTCCATACAGCTGAAGAGGTGGATTATAGCTACATATCATTAAAACGTCCATTCATTATTTCAACCTCTGTTGAAGTAAACCCATCCAGAATTTGTACCTCTATAATGGCTAAGATTTAACATAATGAATAGATGCATGTGGCTCCCCATGACTTCCAGCAGTTTATTTAAAAACAAACAAACCAATTCAATTCAATCACTATATTTAGGGGTCAAATGATGGTCTAGCATGCATGATGAGTTAAATAAATACAGGCCAAGAAAATTAACTTCACTGCTGGGTGCTAATTTTGCCTGTCACTCCTCCCCATGTATGGCAGAGRCAGTAGAGAACCAGCCAGACCCACATGGGCCAGTGCTGTGGTGCCAGCTGGGGCAACACAGATGATGACCCACTGGGAACAACGTCACTGAGGTAAATTCTTCAGGATTAATTAAAATGTAACAAAAACCCAAAATAAATCTATGAGTGCTGAAGTGGGAATGACTGGAATAAGAGGAGCCTTGTGCATGCTGTGTGCAGCATCCCTTCAGTAACTTTTGTGAGTCCCCCTTCTTCTGACAGGATTTATACTCCCACATAGCTGTGCTTTTTAGTTTTCTAAATCAAGCTGCTATCTTCACACAAACTCAGTGGGAGGTATTGGGCCTGGGGTTTCCCGCAGACTTCCAGGGAAACATAATCCTCTTTTCACTCATGAAAACTCCATTGTGAAGCTTTCAAACTAAAGACATCTGATATTTTATCTTCATGGACATAAAAAATTTTAAATGGCTTCTCTTTCCTAAGGAAGATSACAGGAGGGAGTTTGGATTTTGGTTTGTTTTCCACATTTCCCCTCATACGCAGGGCAACACTTGACAGGATGGTGTTGCTGTGACACAGAGATGTCTCTGACACTTGGCCTTCAGTCTCACACTCCAGCAACTTACACAACCAGGACATAAGGAGGCCTCRTGGGGACCGTATGTCTTACCATATGGTCTTCCCTACCCCTGGGAGGAGGCTCTGGGGYTTTCCAAGGAATAGGTTAGGATATCTAAAAGGAGCCAGTCCAGGGAAGGGAGAAAGACCATCTGTAGACACAAGGACATTTGCTGGTGCAGCTACCAGGAGCTGGCTGGAAACATGATAAGAGGTTAAAGCTCAGCAGGTTTTTTCTGTGATTCTGAATAGAATGGTTCTGTTCAAGAGCTAAGGCAAGATTTGGGCCAGATCTGAACATTCCCAGGGGGTTTATAAAACTTCTGCCCTTCACCAGTGCAATTATAATATCGTACAGAGGTGGCTTTCACCATGTGGGAGCTGGCAGGCCTTACCTACCTTTCAGATTTTCCAGCTCATAAAAATGAAATTACTTCTGCYAAGGCCATGTTTATCATTGCATGGCTGTCTTTTTGACTACTCAGGGGTTTTTTTTTTGCTTTAAGGACAGTACATTTAAGTATTTTAGAGAATGTAAACCCAAATACAAGAAACTGGTGACACTTTTTTGGAGGATTTTGTAAAKCTGACTTTTATTGCAAAAACTTCAGGTTTATCCTGTAAATTCAGTCAACAGTTGAGACATGCTACGAAATCAGAAATTTTACTGGAAGAGACAAGAAGGCTCTTTGAAGCCAACTGTTGATTCTGTGTGGCTTTCTAATGTGATTTCCACATGCACATCATGCTTTTGCAAGGTGTGGTTTTAACCACAGTGCATACACACACAATGGGGAGCTCAGGGCTCAAGCTACTGGGAGAGTAGGTCAATGCCAAACAACAAACACAATTAGGCTAAATAGCCTCTCCTGTAGTGAATGATTGCCATGTCACCATGTTCAGTTGAAAACATTCCCCTAAAAATTTAGAAACAATGAAACAGTACAGTCTGTCTTACTAAGACGTTAATAAATTCTGCCTTCAAACATTATTAAAATCATTGTTAAATAAATATATTTCTTCTCCTGATACAGATAAACATATACAATACATACGATATAATGCACAGTGAAGTTTGAAACATTTTAGAAAATTTAAAGACTTAAATATACACTGAGGGTTTTTGCCAAGATAAGTGGAGATTCTTGCTAAATCTATGTGAAGAATCTGTGTCTTGATTCAGTTTTATGTATTCCTTGGTGAGAACAGTCAGCTAAACATTATGCTTTCCCTGTACCACTTGTCATGCATATCTAAGTGCCTTTTAGAGAAAAGACACATGATAAAAGGTAAATATCATATACTGCATCAAACAGATATTATGATAATATGGAGAACTCTGCTCAAGAGCAACASAGATTTCTGATGGAACTGTATGCTGTAGGAGTGGTAAAAAGTAATTAAAAGAGATATCTGACCATAGAAGACTTCMACAGAGATTAGCAGGATTATAATTTAAAATAATCTGTTCCTCAGTAATTGTTATCATTGCTTCACAAAGACCTGATAARATGGGCTCTTGCTTCTCAGTATTTTATAGGCTGAGATTGATGGTAATTGATTCTGAGGCAAAACCTTAGGTTGTGTAGCATATATAAGCACATACTGTTTGGATAGAGATGTGAACAAGTAAAAGGTGAATAAATAAAATGTGTAGCAAAGAAGTAAAATATCCATTGCACATCTTAGGTATTAAATATCAAATTCCTGAGGGAGCTGGGGTAGCAGAAGAGAATAGAAATGCATATTCCCTTTGAAAAGAAAAGCTCTGTGGGAGTCTTCATTTTCTCAGTTGTACTCTGATCCACAAGAGAAAAGGAATACTTTAGCTTAGTTCTTTCTATCAGGCTCAACAAATGGTGAGACTTCACCGTATAAAAGGAAGTAGGAATAATTTGCCTCATGTTTTGACTTTACCCAAGGCATGTACAGAATCCAACCAGGAACTGAAAAAACGAACCAAGTTTTAGCTCAAGTTTTGTAACTGTGGCAGCTTATGTAATTGGCAAAAAACATAGGTGCTCTTTCAAAAGGCAACACCTTGCAAAATAGAGATCTCCCAACGAAAAAAAGAAAGATCTCCACTTGTTTTTATATAAAGCACTGTCAAAATAATGAAGACTCATCCAGACTTAGCTCTGAGGACAGATAAAAGAAAAGTGATGAATTGGCCAAGTCTCCATTAGACTTCGTGCTTCTGAAAGWGAAAATAATTTAATGTTTCTGATTAACAATTTTTCTGAATAACTGAGCAGGGTTTGGGAATTAAGAGTTTAGCACAGCAGGCAGTCTGACTAAAAGTGGACTTGATCAAAGTTGTTCAGAAGTTAAATGTACTGTTATTAAAAATCTAAATGTACTGTCATTCATTTAAAACAATTTAGCAAATTATAAGAGTTCATTAGTGTGTGGCTGTTGGCTTTTGCCAAAACACCCTGCTGCTTAAATATGAGATTTAATTGAGAGGTATTAAATTTATTTTCTAAAAGAGGGAGTACAAGGAAATCCTGGTAACGTATTTGYTACATGCATCATCAAATTGTTTTTCTTGCAAATCTGTAATGCTCCCTTTACTTCATTTAAAAWAAATCAAAAGAAAAGATATTTTGAATACATTAATACAGAGCAGCCAGGTAACTCAAAAAATCATTTAACCTCCAGAATCTTAACAACCTAACAGCCACGAGTGGGAAAAGAGAAGGTATGGGGGAGGATGGGCAAACTCCCCAAACGAAATATAAGTGACTTGGTTGGAGGTCAGACTTAATGGTTTCACAGTACATTGACTCTGTAAATTAAAAAACAACTTTAAATAATCTGCATGTGATTRCAATGCTATGCGCTATAATCAGCCTACTCAGGGCAAACAGAATGCCCCTAAACATACATGTGTAGTTTTCAGGATAGGCTGCACCAACACCTAGGTATTACTTGTTGGCCAGGTATTACTGTTGCTATTAGTTTTGACTCTGGGAATGCTAATATTATAAATGCACRTAGCCAGAAGGCAGCTACCCTAGATTTGCAGACATTTTCATTACTGAAGGAGAGAAGGYAGTTGCATGGAGACTCTCAGGCCTGACCAGTCTGCACTGGTAMGACTGACACCTGATGCTCACTCTGSTAGCCTCCAGCCAACACACCCTTCCTCTCCACGCCTGCCACTGCAGAAGGAGGGCAGCCAAAGGAAGAAAAGAAGGAGACCAAAAGAAGAATATGGACTAATTTTCCAGTCCTCCTGCTCAGGCAGGGCTGAGCACCTTACAGTTTTTCTTACAGGAAGTCTAAGTGACTTCAGACATTTGGGCCATGCCCCAAACCTCTTGTCCTCCTGACAAAGCAAAGGGAATTGCTGCCACACTCCTCAGCRGGGAGTAAGGGGCTCAGCCCAGAGCACAGCACTGGGAGGGACTTTCCATCTCTGCTCTAAATAACAGTACATCTCAAGTATATGTTTGGAAAATTCTTCCCCTAAATCCCCTAAGGCTCTTCCTCAAAAACTCCTCCTGAACCCCTGGCCAGTTCTGTCTGCTGTCTCTCCTCCATCCTGCAATTCAGGTTTAGAAAGCAGTCGTGCCAGTTTCCAGCTAATGAACTGAATGTCTAATGACCTCAGCTCCTCCAGTCTTCCTCCAGCAGAAGAAATGCTAGAAGGAAAAGACCATCTATGGTCTTTGACCARAACCTYCCACCAGGACATAAAAAGACAGAAKAGTCTTCCTTAAGATAGATGACAAAATTACACCTTTCTGTCTGTCTGTGGGGTTTAAATTGCACCCATCTGCTACTGAGGAAATTTAGTAGCCATTTCTTCCCAGTACACCATCAGCATTGATACACATTTCTCACAACATTTCCTAAGAAACAGAAAATGTAATACAAAATCTAAKACTAATATAAAATTATGATCGGAGGCAAGGGAACTGGCATGTCAGGGAGCTAATTTATGTATTTCTAAGGAAAAAAAAATCGTTCATATTATAAGTAAAGTTTATTTCTATTTCTTTTTCTCTTCCTCTTCCTTGTCAACAGTAAGTATAAAAGCACTACTCTTAMATAGATGAATACACTGTATAAAACTCACTATCAGAAACTGCAACTAATTGTGACTTTATGGTTGTTCAGTCCTGCAAATTTGACTGACAAGAACTTCAAAACACAAYGATTAAAGAATCTAAATCTTCTAGTTTACACCATTTTCCCACAAGCTATTGTAGTAAATAGTCAATAGTATTATAAATATATGTGGGTTTTTTTCCTACAAGCATTGTAATAAATAGTAATTAATACAACAGAGCCTTTTGAATTTGATCCACAAAAGGGTTATAATGATAGTATACATGACTTCATTCACTATTATACTGCCCAGGATACAAATTATGATTAATAACTCAGTGAATTAGAGGTATAATTAATTGTCAGAATTAAATTATACTTTAAAAGAGTAAAAGAAGTTTCTGAATTACATACATTATTGAATTGAAAGAGACCCACCATGTGAACCTCAGGAACAGTTTATGAAATGCACAACAAGCATTTTAGATTCAGGGATTGTCATTATCATAGGAATATTACAGAAAAAGCATGGTTATTATTCCATTGTTTACATAATTTCCTTCAGCATGGGTAAAACAAGCAGAAGTACATTTAATCTTTGCTTCAAATGGCTATTCCTATTTATAAAAGTTCTCATGCTGCAATATGAATTTTGTCTATGAGAAACTGTTAACAGTGTATGTTTTGAATCCTGGCATTCATATAAAAACTGTAAAAACCTTGCTTTGACATAATGTCAAGAATACACTTGACCAAAACAGCTCACAAAAATGTGAACTACCAAGGTTTTCTAATTTAATTTTCAACCTTAACATTTTGTTCATGTTACTTCTGTTTTTTAATATAAGTATTAAACATAAAAGAAACTCTTCTTTAGCTGAGAAAGCACAGCCTTTATACATATAAGCTCCTATTTCACAACTTTGTAATATGATAAACTGCTGCTACTGCTATGAATGTATCTTTACCATCTTCCCTCCAGAGATTTCCTTTCTCTTTTCTTTTTCAAATAACAACTGCCCGCGAAGTTTCTTTATCTGTAAACACCAAGAGCTAAATATCAGAAAAGATCAAGGACTGCAGGCCCAAGTCTCTACTCAGATCTCCATGAACTGCTCTAATCAGCTGTACCTGCATTTCTGTAGACTGAATGAAGATGACCTTTAATTATACAACAAACTATGACAGTGCTGCTGCTTTGAATTTTTGAATTTTCTTGCAATATGCAAAATCTRCCAAAACTCAGTATTTTTCAGCCTATCAATATATATGGAAAACTTTCAGTAGAGCAGTTCAATATTTTCATATTCTTTTAAAACACTAACATCTCTGCCAACCATTGTCTGATTTAGTACTAATATTAGAAGGAATGATGTCTTCTGTGTTTGCTCTTCAAAAGCACATGGGACATAGAAATTTAAGATAACCCCTGAGTATTAGCAAAATAATAGAACTGCAAAAGGTTAAAGTTGCACTTTTAWACCAAGCCATCCAAACTACCTTACCATCGCTCTTTTTGAAAATACTCCTTACAGCACCCACAATCTCATGCTACTATATCTACTCCCGGGAATTTCACTGTGCCTGTGATCACAAAGTGTAGAATAGTTTAAACTTTATTCATATATGTCCCTGTTCAGAAAAGCACAGCCATAGAAATAATCAATTCAGCCTTTTCTTTCTATATGAAATTACATGACACAGTTACATTTTCAAAGAAAAAAACAACATTTTGTGAGCTTTATATCCTCAACATGGATTTGATCCCAAACACCTACCCAGACAATCAGGTCTTCAGAAGACTCATTTGCAGAGCTCAYAGCATACCTATTGTATGACAACTAAACGTGACTAGACCAACAGAAACAAACTCCCTAATGTSTACATTGTTAATTATAGCAGAGCAGTAATTAAGTTACCCTTTGCTGCTTCGATGTAAGACAACAGGAGAACAATGGCACAGTCTGATAAGAAATGAGAAATACATGCACCAGAAACACATGGACAGACCAGTACCAGAGCACCATGACTGTCTTCTTGCTGCCATCAGAGACTGCACTGAAGCAGTTCTAGACCAAGGAGATGGTGGAAATTTTCATCCTGTATTTCCCAGTTCAAGCCTAACATCCTCCACCATCCCTATGACTCAGTTAATTTCCATAATTCTCAGGTTTTCAGGAAGAGAGGAAACCATCAGTCTTTGAAACTGAATTTCCCTAACTTTGGTATGTAAAATACTCGATTGATGTTGTTTGCAATTACTTGCACATGGCGGCCATGAATAAGATGAGAGAATGTAGGGACAGTGGTCTGCTGAAGTTCCAACATAACCTCCTTAAAATGCCTAAGAAATGGAGCCCAAAGTCTTAGTGAGGTAGGTTAAGTAGCCAACAAAATTACCTYGATGAAAGACACCATAAGTTTCCACTTCCCCCTCAAATATAGAATCACCAGTTACGTGTGCATTGTTAAGCAGGTGATGATTGGCAGAATAAGCAGAAACAGAGCACAAAATGCTTTAAATGTCCTCAAAGCTCAAGTCAGATGTGACTTTTGTATATTTCTTTTGAAAGCTGCAGTAAAGAACCTACAATGAAGTCTACAGGGAATCTAGAGACATGTCTTTCATTAGCCACCAACAAAGGAAGACTCCACAAGAAAAAGGAGCTACCCCATCTCTCCCTAGAGGACCTCACAACCGGCTCTGTCTCACCACAAACCTGGAATCATCTATACTACAGTGGTCACTGCAATGGGAATATACACAGCCTGCAATCAAAAGGTATAAATGAATTCCCCACTGGAAAACAYTGAAGTTTGAACCTAAGAATAAAACTGTTCAGCTTTCATAAGCTGAAGATGTGTCTGGTCTGTATTTTTGCTTCTTGTTGATACTAGAAAAAAGGAAAAGGAAGCACTGTAAAATCTGAAGGACAAGGAAATCATTGTATGATGTTAGAGCTGGAGTTTACCCATTTCTCAAAAGAAATGCAAGAAAATATGCTGCAAGTTACCGACTACACAGATTGGAAGGTGCCCAAATGAAGCCCAAGACAGAGCAGATTTCAAACAACCTGTTCCTGAGCAACTAGAAGGGATGTCAAAGCTTGAGAACAACGGGATTTGCTCACACCCCACAGRCTCACCTTCAGAGGTGTTTTTCAAGATGGGGTGTARAGAACACACCCACTAGAGCTCCCTGCTATAGTAGTGCTGTTCATGGCAGCTCTGAAACTGCACTGCCACCACTCCAGCTGAAGTCTAGAAACTGAGGGAAATCCCTGGTAAAGAGACCTTTTTTTAGATACCAGACACAATATTCAGAATTGGCTAAATACCAATCTTCAAATTCATTTCGCRTTCTGCCCATTTTGTGCCAAAATGCTTCTGGCCTTTATAGGACATGCAATCACCTGCTGCTGGTCACATTGTAAGGTACGAGTTGACACAAGAAAGGACAAGATTGTATACATGCCATTAGGAGCTGTTGGGACAGACACATGAGAACCAAGGAGACTCTGAAGTTCTTTGAATCTCTCTGAAGAATGCCACATGGAGAGCAAATCTGTCAAAACYATGGTGATAGGAGAGCAAATGGCATTTGGCATTTCCTAATGTGCTAGGAACTGGGGTTTGCCCCATCGGTGGGATGCTCTCCTGGACTGCTGAGCTCAGCCACGACAGATGTGTTTTAGCTGAACTAGACTCTCCAAATGCCTCAAGGTTATAACAAAGCCATCAAAGCCTCAGTTTATATTAATAAGCCAGTCTTAAATAGGCACACTGCAGGTGCCAACTTGTAAGCAGATACACCAGGCCTGCCTCAGGGATGGCAAGAGCATTTGGAAGCAAAACCAGCCTCTGCCAYGTCATTTTTGTCTGTCACCACTAGTCTATCAGAGCTCCAGGCYATCAACTCCTCCCAAGATGAATTCCAGAATGTTTTAGGTCAGACACAGGTAGAAATACAGTCACATAACCACCTTAGGAGCTTGTAAGTTGGAAATGAAGGTACCTACTAATGGACACACCATTGTGCTGAGGCAATTAGTACTTGGATGGGCATCTGTATCACAATTTTGGATCTAGGTGTCATTCAGTCCATGCAAGGCCTGGTATAGACACTAAAGTGATGGGCCWGGAGAGAAAATAACCTTTCTGCTTGCCCGAATATATGTGTATTTCATCTGATAATATTCAAATATCTTTAACTACATTATAATGAGGTTAAAGCAAGAGAAATTTCCCCACCTCAAATATTACAAATGTCAGTAATGAGAACAGTAAAAATGTCACCACACGGAGAAAAGAGTGAAATTAGCATATTTAGAGGAGTATTATACCCATGAGTGAAATAATGCAATCAGCTAGCTGCAAGATAAAGCTAATTTGGTTTCCAACAGTTTATCAACAATACACTGTTCCTTTACATTAACAAATTTAACCGATACCATATCCTGCAAACAAGAATAATTCACACAGAATATTACACTGTGTTAATTAAATAGCTGGAATAGAAAAGGTCAGGCCATGACTTGAGATGCGCATATGGGTTGTGAAGCTACGAAAAGATGGAGCAATTTCAAATCAAGCAATTAAAATAAATTATTTAAATAATCATTAAGTCAATAATAAATACGCTTAGATATTTCGAGCCTATTCTGACAGCCCCTTTTGCTGTTGTTTCTCAGAAATTTCTCCTCCTTGTTGACCAAAGCAAGAGTCAACCTATCTTTAAGCCCATCATAAGATGAGGTGGCTTAGATAAGTTATCAAAGAGTTATCCTGCTTCTATTCAAGCTTTCATTTGACTGTGCAGATAGTACAAAGCACAAGGCAAGTTTTGCAGTTAAAAGGATACCACAAAACCCTACTTGCCTTATTTCTGGATGGTTTCCTACCACTAGAACCATGAAACCTCCACAATTACTACAGTTAATTGAAAAATGTTCACAGAGAAGTGCTTTTTCACTTTGTTTACTTCTGCAAATAACAGCACTTAGTCTTTGGACACATGCCACCAAATCAATTAAATTATAGTAGTAACAGCCTTTTTAAATTGAAAGAACATTTTGGCATGAGCTAAACTATGCTGAGGTGGTAATGTATGAAAAATACTTAGTAAAATGGGGAATTAATCTTATTTGGAGCCCCAAAGCACTAYCAGAATATCCATCAGTCATGAGCAAGTCTGAATCTCATCCTGTGTTTTTACTGTACTTTTGTCACTACAGCTGTACACAGCAGGCTCAAATTTGAGTTTGCTATCATATCCCCTCCCCAATCATTTAACTGTGAGTGAATTTTATTTTTCCTGRGAAACTTCCTGAACTTTTGTAGACAAAGATAAAATTTTGGTTTGATCATAGTTCTGCTGATTTCAGTCAGCATACACTTCCTTTTCCCACTTTCARTCTAGGAAATTGAGCTGTGTTGTCTAAACAAAATGCCGTATCAGTCATGTTCTGAGAATTTCACAGGAGTCTGTGGCTTTGGCTGCAAATTTGTGGGATGAGGGTCACATGTGTAAAATTCAGCTGCATATTGCCCAGTGCATCAACAGTTATGACACTGACACTGGATTGAAACCAGTCTGTGGGGATCCCACTGTTCAGCTCCTCCCATTTAATTACAGACACTTAACAAGCCAGCTTCCAGACTTTGTGACAGAATGCCTAATCAAGCCACATTGAAATACGTCATTTTTTAGGGAAGATGAAGCACTGTGCAGCATATGAGCCATTAATTTTATGACAAGTGCAGATGGTTGATATACAGATAAATTCTCAATAACCTAATCGAATGAACATATACTTCAATATATTTGGATGATAATACTAACGAGTGTACTGCTCCCCACATAGTGGTATATTCACCCAAATTATTTTTAAATGGATTTCAGTGCATGTTGCATCTGAACCCTAGTGGGTTTTTTGCCTCCCAATTCGGACCACGGCTGATTGGTATCCACYAAAGCAACACGACTTCCTTCTCCCTTTAAAAAGATCGACGCCCGTGGGATGCCCTGCTGCAAGTACGTTCCTGGCCGAGGGTACCCGCACTGCTGTGGGGCCACAGCCGTGAGGGGCCCGCGGCCGAGAGGGACGTGTGGGAAGATAAGCGGATGGAGGGCTCGGCGCCCGCTCAGGGCCCCGCTTCAGCCGCCGCTCGGCGCTCCCCGTGYCCACCCTGGGCCCGGGCCTGAAGCCGCGCCGCGCTGGGGTCCGTGGCGGGCCGAGGGGCACCTACCCGGCGCAGGGGGACGGCGGCTCTCCGCCCCGGCCATGCTCCGGCGGCTGTGCCCGCGGGACTGCTCCGCCAGGCCCCGCTCGACACCGCTTTCGGCGGCGGAAGGGGCAGCGCACCCGGGAGCGGCGGCGGGGCGGAGCCGGGCGGGAGCGTGACGGCCGCAGCTCCCCAGCCCTGCCGGTCCCGCGGGCCGCCGCGCTCCTCTCCCCCTTTTCCTGCGGGGTGACGGCCCTGTGACTTCCCCTCTCCACACGCCTGTACTGCCCGCCGGCGCAGCTCCCTTCCCGCCCGGCTCTCCTCCGCGGCGCCGCTTCCCTCCTCCCCTCGCCGGCGGAGGAAGGAGGCGGCCGCCGGCCCTCCCCGACCGCGCATGCGGCAGTGCCGGGCCGGGGCAGCGCTGCCGCGCTCGGGGGCTGAAGTGTGGGTGTCCCTTCCCCCGGCCCCGTCCCCTCCTCCCCCGCGGGCCCCCGGCAGCGCCCCCGCAGATGGGCTTGGGCTGGAGCAGCGCGGAGGAGCGGCGGCCCCTCCTGCCGCCCCCGCAGCAGCAGCCGCGGCCGCAGCCGCGGGGGCCGGCGGGGGGCCCGGCGGTGCGGCTGSCACCGCTGTCGGGCCGGGTGTACGGGCGGCGGTGGCTGGTGCTGCTGCTGTTCTCGCTGCTGGGCTTCGCGCAGGGCCTGGTGTGGAACACCTGGGGCCCCATCCAGAACTCGGCCCGCCTGGCCTTCGGCTTCAGTGGCTGGGACATCGCCCTGCTCGTCTTCTGGGGGCCCATCGGCTTCGCGCCCTGCTTCTTCTTCATGTGGCTCATGGACAAGAAGGGTGAGCGGGGCCGGGGGCGGCGGGGCCGGGGGTTCGGGACTCCCCGACCCGCTCCTGTGGCTTCCCCCGGGCCAGGCGGGGACGCCGTGTCCGTGTCCCCCGACGCCGCGGTCCTGGCGCTGGAGAAGCGGACGCTGCCAGAGCGGGGGCAYTCGGGGCCAGTGGCCTCGGCCTTAAAAAGCATTGACTAATGCTTAAGAGGCATCATGTTTTCAGTACACTGCTCAACCGAAGGCACATTGAAGTCTGTTCGCAAGGAAGATACTTAAGCTAAACGCAATTAGGGCATCTGACGTCGCAGCTGAGGTGTGGGTCTGGAGGAGGTGTGTTTCAGTCCAGCGCTGCCGTCAGGCTGTTTGACCTGGAGATGGTGGTGATTTCTGGTTACCACCTGTGAAACAAACATGGGTTGATATTTAGCTCAAGTAATGACATTCCTCAGGGCGGCCATTGTATCTTCATTTTTAAAAGCGGGCTGGACATGAAGTCTGGTTTTTGTTTCATTGCGCTAGAGAGATGCAAAGACAGGGAACACAAAACAGAAGTAGTGCATTGGTATTTCGTGGAGCACAAGGGAGAGTTTCCTAATTTGTGTTCAGGTCACTGCATCTWGGTGTCAAACTCATGAAAATGGTGTTTGTCTCTGGAGAACTTCTCCAGGGTCTGTGTGGTTCTTCTGCAGTCCCCCAGGGGACCATTCCAGTGAGGTCAAGCACCTGTGTTTGCACACTGCAGCTTTTGGGTCTAAATCCACTGAAGGGATTTRTTTTAATTCCTGTTTAAACAGTCCTCTGAACAGGAGCTAGGTGCCAATGGAGTCTTGTGGCTCCTGATCTTAAGTGCTACTTATTCCATTTATTTAAGAATTAAAAGCTCATTTGTGGGAAGGGAAAGGGAAGGAAAAGGGAAAGCAAGCAGGGAGAAAAGTGTTGTGTTTGAGAAGGCCTGTCTCAAAACAGGAATTACTTTTCCTAGAACTGAAGAGGCATTGGGGGAATAAAATTTACTGGGCTGAAAATGCATTCTCCAAATGARTCCATGGTGGCTATACATCCAATCTTCTCTCAAGCAATTTAGACTTAAGTTGGCAATATCTGTCTAGACTGATATATAATAGTGTTGTTAATTATCTTAAAATTAAAGTAAGTTATTTTGGTTTGTACACTGAAGACTGACTCTGCTCATGGTATGAAGGAAATAAAGGTAAATGTGAACCTGTGCTTAGAGGGCTGAGCCTGTATTTTTGTTTCTACATTTTCTGTGAAGTTGATCCTGAGCAATGCAAAATAATACTGGAAAAGTTTTGAAAAGGGAAAAGAAGCATTAGTATTTTGTTGTTTTATAATGTGATTGGTAGTGTGGTTGTGGGGTTTCTTAGTTTCACATATAGGTTGTTTTGATGAGAATATGTATACAGGTGTTTTTCTCATTTCCTTAACTGATTGTTTGGGAGGGTTTTTTATTGG